CCGGCCGCGGCCGGGGAGGCGGAGGGGAGGAGGGCTGCGGGGCTGGGGCGTTAGCTGCGTCCCGGCTCGGAGCCCGCGAAGAGGACTAGGAGGAAGGCGCCGCCGTGGCCGCGGCCGCAGTGCTCCGGGCGCGACAAGCCATGAGCAGCGGCCCCGCGGGCGACCCCGCCGTCGCTGGCCGTCGCTGAGCCGGCCGGGAGACAGCTCGCCGTTCCCCAGCGCCCTCCCCAGCCGGCACCCTCGCGCCCAGAGGTAAGGGCGGGGACCGCGGAGGGATGGAGAGCGGCGGCCCGCAGGGGACCGCGGGCTCGGTCCGCTAGGTGCGCGGGAGCCAGGACGGGCCCCGCCTGGCTCGCGACCCTGCCTTCTCCCTGCTCTAGGGCAGGCAGAACGTGGTCGCCCGCCCAATGTGTGGTCCTTGGAACCATCCGCTGCTAGGGCTCAGGGACCTGCCAACCCCCTACCCCACCCATCTCACGGCAGCCCCAGTGCCCGGGCGAGGGACCCCCGGCGCCAAGCACAGCGCGGCAGGTTCTGCGGACTTGGCTGGGGGCGGGGGGGGGGGCGAGGGGGACAGCTGGTGGAGGATGAGGAGGAAACGCGGCCACGGCCGGGGGCCATCCTCGTTCTTCCTACCTTAAAAATCCCTGAGACCCTAGGGCCTGTCCCTTCTGATCTGCTCTCCCCTTGCTACCCCTGAGCCCCTGAAGTTAGCACTTTGGAGGAGAGGAAGGAATTTGAAGGTCTCCGAAGGGAACGAGAGCGCGATGTCTGCTCCTTTGCAGGACCAGAGGGAAGAGCGGGTTTAGCCGGATCGGGCGGGCCCCAGAAGCCAGGTGTCTAGGCCGGCGGTAGAGGCCAGGACCCGCTGCTTTCAACCAAACCCAGGCTCGGCGGTCTTTCCCTTTGCAGCTGGTTCCCAGCAACGAGGTGGTTCTGGATGGAGTTAGCAACTCGGAACCTTAGGATGTGCTCTGTAGACGCTAATTCCTTTCCTTTCCCCCTCAGCCAATTCTTCCCTCCCCCACCGCGCGCTTGCCGGTGTACATCAGATTACACTTCCTCCAGAACCTCGCACCGTACCTAGCTTTGAACAACCACAGACACCTAGCCCACATCCCGGGACGGATATTTCAGAGTGTTAAGGCCAAACTTCACTTGGTTTCAAATTCTTTTTCAGCGTTTTCAACTCCCAGCAAACCAGTTAGGAAACACTTTCAAGTCCGCATCCTCCTTAAAGTAAAAAATATGAACCAGTCAGTCCTTGTGGGAGTGCTGGCGCTGGGCAGAGGGAGGCTTGAATGACCCCATTTAATGCAGCCTTATGGGGGAGGAATAGATGAAGGAAATAGCAGTCCTGTTTTAGTCACGTACTTCTTACAAGCCCTTGGTAATGTAAGAAATGGAGCCTTAACCAGTGGTCACATTTCCCTACAGGTATGTAGAGGTTTACGAAGGCATACATAGGCTTCATAATGGACAAGTCAGTAAAATGCCATCTAGATGAGAGAGGAGGAAAAGTGATGGCACCCTCTCACCTGGCACAACTCGGCAAAATCGCCAGAGCCAATCAGCTTTATACATCTATACATTTCCTTTCTTTATTTTTTAATGATTTGTGTAAACCCAAAATGTAAGCTGAACCTCCCAAAATTGGCTCAGATTCATAAACCGTATGTTGGATGTCTGGACATGGATAACAGATTAGATGTATATAACTCGATGATATTTTCATTTCTTCTGACTTGCTTAAATAGGGAAGACCAAGGTACAGGTGTAACCCTGATTTACTTTACTTTGGAGTGATTAACTTAAATACTGTCTTGAGGTCAGTTAGTTTGTCTGCTTTTGAAGGGGAGGTGGGGAGCAGCTTTACAAGGGTGAAGACTTTTCATGGTCCTCATAATGGATTGACCACAGATAGGGCCCACCAACCCGAGTGGTATCAGAGGTAGCAAGCATGTTTAACAATTTTCTTATTAATAAAATTATCAAAGCCTTTGTTAATGGTACTAATCTCTTATTTCTCAGATTGACTAAGCACTTTGTTTAATGAAATGTTTTTAGAAGGGAATGCTTTCAGTGAAAAAAATGTATTAGGGACTGTGAGAAAAGACTAAGGACTAAGAAAAGAATGAATAATTTTCCACTTATATGAAATTTATCTTTTAAAAAAAGAACGAAGTTAGCAATATTTTTAACTCCTAAGGTGTCCAGTTTTTACCAAATTGTTATGATTTTTCAATTTAAGTTATAGTCACCAATAACATTATAATAGAGCCCAAGTTTAAAAAGAAATGGTGTGGAAACTTATTTTGCCAAGCATTGTGTTAATGGTTTAATATGGTACATTACTATAATATAGTCGAGCTGCTCTAGGTACCTAACATACATTATCTCAGATTCTTATAAGAAACGCTTAAGGTGGATGGTGCCATCCACATTTTACAGAAGAAGAAAGAGGCTTTAGAGTTTGTGACTTGCCCAAGAACATACAGCTAACAATGCCTGAATGAGCCCAAGCCTCTTTAGCCTTAAAGGTATACTTTTCTGTTATCCAAAGCTGCCTCTTTTTTTCCTACACAAATTTATTAAATTACCATAACAACTAAATGAAGAAACTAAGATTGAGGAAGTAAAGTCACCTGTCCAGGGTTTTCCATGTAATTAGTATATAGCGAATTCAAATTTGGAATCAGGGCGATCTGTTTTGAAAACCCATGTTCTTGCCACTGATCTCTATTAAATGACTGATTAAGAGTCTAAACTAATGGACATTTCACTCCTACTCATCAGCTCTTCTCATCCACGTGACAATGATGGTCTCATGGGCTGCAACACACTCCCAAGATTTTATACTCAATCCCTGGAGTGCTTGCTGTATCTCCAGCCCCGGATCACTGATGAAAGCATATTGCAGCCAGTGGGGGTGATATTACTGTGGAGGTATCCTTGGATCCACTTAATTTCTCTTAAAATGTAAATCATTCCAGATTGGCATGGGGAAAAGAGCATGGCCTCAAGATAGGGAAAGCTGGTATCAAATTCTGGCTCTACTGCCCAGTAAGAGTGCAAACTAATTGACCTTACTGAACTTCTCTGAGCCCAGTTTTGTCATATATAATGGGGTTAATAAAGCCTACCTAGTTGGATTATTGTACAGATTAAATGTAGCAAACCATATAAAGGACAGCTCCTGTTCCTAGTAGGTGCTCAGTAAATGGTGGAGATTAATACCCCTGTATCCTAGCACTGACTGAAATTTCTGCTGTATTTCACTTTCCGTGTATTTAACATGCATACAGTGATTAGTCATTGCTATCACTGCTTCACTCTTCAGCTATACAAAGGTTAATCTGGTTTTTAGCATCTTTAACTTTTGAATCACATCCTTTTTTTTTTGTAGTTCTGACATAAATATTTACTCGCCTTATGTAGTTTTTCCTTTGCTCCACTCTGCATATTTTTTGGAACTTTATTAGCCATATTTCAGTGGATTGGAATTTGTAATTTTTGGTGAACATACTTTCCTGTTTTCTGCCTCTCTTGATTTCTCAGCCTTGCTTATCATTCAAGGCCCCATGACAATCCCAGTATCTTCCCACCATACACCTTACCCTTGACCAAGCCTCTGTCAGCTAAAATTCTGCATCTTCTTTAAGGTCCAGCTACCTCCTTCCTGAGCCCATATACCTTCCATTTTAAATCCTTTGTCAGTTCCCTTATAATTCAGACATGTACTCCTATTTTATTTTATTTATTTATTTATTTTTGCTGTGGAAGATTCGCCCTGAGCTAACACCTGTTGCCAATCTTCCTCTTTTTGTATGCAGGCTGCCGCCACAGCATGGCCACTGACAGACCAGTGGTGTAGGTCCATGCCCAGGAACTGAACCTGGGCCACTGAAGCAGAGCATGCTGAAATTAACCAACTAGGCCACTGGCCCTGGCCCTCCTAATGCTTTTTTTTTTTAAATTAACTTTTTAAGTTATTTGCCCAGGTAATATCCTGTAAGACTATAAACTCTTTGAGGACAGGGACATTTTTCTATTTCTTTGTATTCTTTGCTTAGTATGAAACATAGATGTTTTCTGTTTCCTGAATGAAAGATGAGTCAGATATTCTGAGAGAGATCCTTACCCAAATTATTTGTCTCTGTTACGTGATAGTTAGTGGCACCTTCCTCTCTATTTTGAGACTTGTTCATCCCAGCCTTCTCCACCAATTTAACTGGAATTACATTTACTGGAAGCCCATAGTTCTTAAACAAAGCCTTGGCCATTAGGTACCATGTAAGATAGCTATGTTTCATTAATAAATTGCTCCTGTGGTGGTATAATAACCTCGTTAGGTTGCAAATAAATTAAGCATGTACATCAACAGTATTTGAGTAGTTTGTCATTTTAGACGGGGTAATGGTCCAGATGGATTTCTTTAATTAGGAATAGGATTTATTTACCTGAGGGAAAGGAATACCTACCTTAGAGACAAGGTTGAGGTAATAAGCAAGGAGGATTTCAAACCCCTTTGGTTGGAAATAGGACTAATCATGGCAACAGTGTGGAGGCTACAACTAGAAGTGCCCTTCATGAGAGAATTAGCACAGGAAAAAGACCCAGACATTCTCACCACAGATGTGAGAGGTGGAAAAAAATAAAGGAAGAGGTAAAAGAAATGAAGCACAACTATAATATTGTATGACTGAGGCCTGCTCGATATTGGTCATTCCTGGACTATAGAAATAGGAAAGGGACTGTGGGGTCAAGGTGGGCAAGGGAGGAGAGAAACTAGTGTGGCTGTGATCATCTCGTACGTTAATGCACTCCCATTTGCTCCCAGGACTGGCACAGAAAGGCAAGAGGGTAATCCCCGAGCTTTGCTTGAAGTCGTTTGGCAAGAATATATTGAAAATTTCCTAATTATTAAAAGTAGAGAATGACCGAACTCTTTTCCAATATCAAGCATGAGACAAAAAAAGAACCTGGGCTACCTACTTAGAAGTATAACACACTGTCACAAGTTCTGGGAGTGAATTTAGGATCATTTTATGGTGCTGGATGGGTGTCCTCTTAAAATACAGTTCTATAATCTATGGTGTATCTAAATGTGAATGGCAGTTGGTAGAGAAATGGTAAGATGGGTTCAGAAAATAAATAGCGTTCAGAAAAGAAAAGAATTGGCAAAATTGAAAAATCAATTTTAAGAAAGATGTTTTAAAGCTTAAGGAAGTAACTGAAAATGTTCCAGATGA